TATGTATAAGGATGATCATAGTTCTGCCAACAGACACACGTAGTCCTTTGGGAAAATGAATGCTAGTAGCTGTACACTAGCAGTAGTAGTAGGGGCAAGGCAGTGAGTTCATTCTCCATCCGTGAATCTGTCTCTCTCTTTAGGAGGCTAAAGAGGCCTAAATATGACAAAAAGCTACTGGACTTTTCAGAAAAAAGGCTGGGAAATATTGTGTGCCATCCCTGAAGTTGGAGAGGGTGACCCTACTGGCATTAAAGCAAATTATATGCATCTCAGCTTCCTGCAAGTGAAGTCACCCTACCTATTTACAAGCACATTCTGGAATTTCACTTAGTGGAAGTGTCCATCTTGCATCCACGTGAGATCTCATAAGCAGCCAGATGGTTCATCCATCAGACAGGCACTGGGACTGCCCTTAATTAGGATTTGTCCTGATCTGTAGTGATGATTTAATAGTTAATTGGACCACTCCAGTTTGAAGCCTGTGTTGCAATCAGCAGAGGGTTGCAGTCCTTTGCTGAAGACTTTTGCTTCTTTTCCACTATGCAAAATAACAAAAAAGACTAATCTTAAAACTGCTCTTAATGAGTATAACCAAAATATTAACAGTAGTAAACAAGAATACATTTGCTCATAACTTGTCATATCAGTGTAATAAATTAAGCCAGAAACACATTAACATTTGACAGCTTAAACAATGCAGGAAAAAATACAAACCTCACAGGGACTATGTGAAGCATGTTGGCAGTTTAACAGACATTTTGAGATGTAGATACATATATCAACCTTTCTGAATTTAGTCTTGATAACTCCTTTTCCTCTGTGTGCCAAAACACTGCCGTGTGAAGACTAATGAGTTCCAGATTTGTTTATCTTTGGTGGCTAAGGCAGATTCATGAGCCCCTTGAACCTCTTTTACAGCGGCCATGTGATACCAGCATGCAACACCAGAGGCAGAAACGTCTCTTTTATGCTGATGGATATATAGGATCTTATAAGAAAGATGTGCTTGGCCATCTGATAGAAGGGACCACATCAGATGTGTTTTGGATGATCTATGTGGGTGAATTGTCCAGCCTGTTAGCTTTCGTATGTGTTTTATGTTTATGGTCTGAGGTGTAATAGCAAATGCTCAAAATAAATCTCACACATGAAATACAGATTAGTATGTCTAACGTCAAGGCTTCATGTTGTGCACTGACCAGATTTTTGTATGGGTGATTGTGTTTCCCAAACTTTTTTTTATATTGTGTGAGCTCTCAAATAAACATCATAGCTCAGGAAGACCCTGGGCCACCTAAGTGATACTTTTTCCTTTTGTTTTTCCCCTATTTCATTTCAACTTTCTTGTTTGGTTCTTTAATATTTTGCTTTTCTATTAATAAGGGTGAGGGTAGGTTTTAGTGGTTTTCTTTGTTTTGATATTACTGGTGAAAGAAGGGATTGGGTTAATGGTTGGACTCAGTGATCTGAGAGGTCTTTTCCAATCTTAATAATTCTATGATTATGCACCTTTATTGAGGTTAGCATAAAATGCTTTGCATAGACTTTTTTGAAAGCAGAGCAGGGCATTTTCCTGCTGGAAGTCCAAGCTAGTGATTTCTTTGTGGACTAATCTTTGCTCAGTTCCAAAGAAAGAGGATGGTTTGGATCTATCACCCCCTCAAACCCATGGCTGGTTTTTCTCTCTCAACAAGACAAAGGTGGTGCAAAGACCTGCAACAACTTACAGCAGGGAATGTCCCTGGAGGACAGATGGTCATTATGGTGGATCTGCCTCTCCTGCCTCGGGACCAGAGGTCTGACCAGGGACACGAGGGACAGCCAAGACATACCCAGTGATAGCTGTGGGTACCAGAGAATAAGTTAAAACAACTCTGATGAACACTTCGCTTTCTGGCTTCAGAATTCTTATTCATTATTAGTAGTGCAGCAGAGGCTTTAATGTACCCTTACCATAGTTACGGTCCAAAAATAACTTTTTTTCCTTGAATCTGAATGTGGTGTACATGTTCAAGTAACTTTGCTGTTGTGGTTTTTTTCCTGTTTTAACAGATGTATTCAGACTAACTGCTTCTGCAGAGCATTTCCTTCTTTAGCAGAGTCTGCTTTGTATCCTCACCTTTCTTATATTAATAGTTTTTCATCCTTTTTGACTGATGAGGCCAGGTGATATATATTATATATGCAGTCAGAGAAGTCAATAATGAATCCTCCCTACCCTCAGTTCTGAACTGAGAATGATAAAATCCAAATGCAGCTGGAAGGCTTTCTCTACAAGTACGATGGTATAGCTGTGTCCTGTGCAGAAGGAGGTGCAATGCAAATATATCCTTGTAGTATGTGATTTGAGAAGGAAGAGTAGAGAAAGGTTTGTTATAAAAACTAACTTCTATATAGGGAATGTTTTTGGGGTTGTTTGTAAGAGAAGCTTGCTTGCTATTTGAATATTTAATCAGTGATCCAACACCCAGATTTTCTGGGAACTGGCCTTAAGCTCTTTCCAACAGCAATAATAAACCAAGGTCAGAATTTATTGCAGAGTAAAAGGAGGTAACAAATGATTTGGATTTCCCTGTTGATGGATCTCTGTGTTGTTTACTGTGTGCAGCACACTCCTGCAACAGCCTGATGGAGCCTGGAGCCCCTCGTGCTGTGCACTGTATGAACACACGGCGAGAGACAGTTCCTGGCCCCAACCATTTGCAATCTAAATAGATGTGGCAGGTGAGAAGGGGATAACAGGGAATTTTGTTATAAATGGACATCCAAATTGATGAGAAGGGGAAGCCATTCAGCCGTGGGCAAGAATTTTGCCCACTCCAGGTGGTTGCTAAGCCTCCACTCACAGGTCATGCTGCTCTCCCCAGCTCTATTTCATGGCTGTAAAAGCAACCATTTAAGTCTGGTTTTCTGAAAAGAAGAAAAATATAAAAGGAAAAAAAAAAAGCCATCTCGCATAAGAACAGTAGTCCATTTCTGCACCACGAGCCATGACTGTTCTTGCTCCAGTAAAAGCCAGACCTCCTCATAACATACCTTATAACCTGTTAATTATGATTTCCTTCTCTAACATTTGGATCACACTACTAAATATTTTTAAATATCTATATATGTGTTTTTTAAGCTGCTGGGTTTGGGTTACACCTTTTCCATATGCCCAACCCACACAATCCCATCAACGCTTTCACACACCAGTCAAACACTCTATATTTGTGTGAAACTCACTGAAGGAAAAAAATTCCTATTACTACTACTACTAATACAAATTCATTTCTCACAACTATTAGTATTTTGCTGAATGCTGCTGAATGAATTGACTGCAATCGAATGTCTAACTTTTTGTTGTGTTGACTCAGTGACGATTTTTGATTTATATTCATAATTACTCCAATCCCATCACCACGTCTTTTTTCTTTTTTTCTTTTTGCTTGACAAAGCTCCCTTTACAAAACTTAATCACTTTCTGTTTGAGCAATCCCCAAATACATTTTACATTCTGTTGTTACTGGGAGTGATGTTCTGAAAGTTGATACACATTGCAACAGCAGGTGTTAAGACAGACAAGTAGGGAACAAAAGCTCTTAGAGCATGAAAGAGTCTAATAATAGACAATTTGTTCACCTGGCACTGGCTGCTTAAGCATTTGAGATGAGCTCATTGTTATTTGGCCATGAGCTTTCTGCTGGTTGTATGGATGAAAATATGGAAAAACCAGGTTGTGGAAACAAAGGTCTGCTAATATTAGAACAGCGTTAAATGGGGCATGATAGAGCTGGGGAGGTTGCAGGGTGAGCTGTGGGGTTTAAAGTAGTGAAATGCTTCCATAAGTAGGAAAGCAATCAATAAAGACACAGTTGTGTATATTCTTGCAATAAAATTACATGTGTAAACACTTTCAATGACTTTACAACTGGACGAGCTGTTCAGAGTAGGCTTGCATTCAGAAATGCAGTTCAAGCTATTTCCAGGCTCATTGGAAATAGGGCCTTTAGCTAGTGAAGCTCACCATGACAAGAAGAGATAGAGAATCTGATTAGAATGGAGTCATCAATCCAGGAAGAAAATTCCACTGTCATGGGGCAGTGCTGGAAGCACCACTACATCCCATGGGAGCCCCAGGCATGAGGAACACAGAGGGTGTGTGCCCAGACCCAGGAGCATGGGGTATGAGGAGGAGGATGCTGATTCCTGGGAGCACACTGAATGCTTCCCTGAAGGTTGGTGTTGAGAGCATTTGGGAAGCTGCCTCTTTGAAGAGGGGAGCCTAGAAGAGAACAGAGATGACTGTGCTGGGCTGTGGTTCCTGCCCACTTCCCAGAAGATAAAGTGGAAGCTGTGCTTCAATTAAAAGGACAGCACTGCAGCTGAGTGTCCCTAAATCACCTTCTCCTTAGCACGTATCCTTCCCCATGGCTCTGGGGGAGCCATGCATGCTACTGCAGAACAGACAGCAAAACTTGGTCTGTTCAGCTGGAGGAGACTGAGGGGAGACCTCATCGCAGTTACAACTTCCTTGTGAGGGGAAGAGGAGGGGCAGGCACTGATCTCTGCTCTGTGGGGACCAGCGACAGGATCCGAGGGAATGGCCTGAAGTTGTGTCAGGGCAGGGTTAGGTTGGATATCAGAAAAAGGTTCTTCCCCAGAGGGTGGTTGGGCACTGAACAGGCTCCCCAGGGCAGTGGTCACAGCACCAAGGCTGCCAGAGCTCAAGGAGTGTTTGGATGATATTCTCAGGCACATGATGTGACTCTTGGGGATGGTCCTGTGAAGGGCCTGGAGCTGGACTCGATGATCCTTGTGGGTCCCTTCCAATTCAGCATATACTGGGATTCTGTGAAAATAGGCATCCTTTTCCCAGAGGTGCATATCCTAACCTTCTAAAACTGAGGAAATGGTGTAAATTGTAGCATACCATTAATTGTCATGTTTCTGCTTTTGGAGAGGAAAAATACTTCCAATTATTTTATTTTCTTTGATTTCCATAGGAAATGCCATGAGGCCCTGTTCCTATTTACCCTGCTAAGACATGCACACAGTTGTTTGCTTGGATCCCAAGGAGGTTAAAGGATGAGGAGACTATAAATGCCATTGGATTTCTTTCCTTAGGCAGACTGTGGAGATGAACCTTGCATCAGCAGTCACAACTGGTGAGCTCCATTTTGGCTTTAGTTCTACTAAAACTTCACTTCATGAAGTCAGATTGACCTTCTAGTTTGGTTATTAATCAAAAGCCTCAATTCCTCAAGATTATGGGTGCAGTTTCCAGGAAACTTCTTTCACACCAGTGCTATTCAGCAGCAGCAGATCTGGTATTGCAAATATTTATGGCCAACAAGAGGTCAACATAATCCTACACCACTCCCAAAAAATCCTAATTCAAGAGTACTTGAATACTGATGACTCTAACAAATGCCTCAGAAGTAGGCAATGGTTTAAAAAACAAGTGCCTAATACCTCATACTTTGAATAGTGAATATGATGAAGAAGTTTGTAAACACTCAGCAACCAGTTCATATATTTCTTGACCAGAGCAGTTGTGCAGGGACAGCTCTAGTGCCAGTGTGCAGGTCTGTTTGTCCCATATACGTATCACTGAAATGTTGAGGACCAAGGAGCTATTTTCTTCACATCAGTTGTTTTTGTTCTCCATTCATTTTTATTTTCCTTTGGAAATGTCAGCTGGAATTCAGCATGTAAGGGTTTAGGTATCTGCAGGGAGGCCACAACACTGTGCACAGGCCAGATTGCTTTTCCTTGCTGAACTCCCCCCTTCGCATTCCAGCCTGACAAAGTTTTCTTGCAGTTATTCAGTACACAGATAACTAAATGCTTTAAGTACTAATTAAAATATATGATGTTTAACTGTTGGCCTATGCCATTTGTTTATGATGGAAGACAGCAGCAAAGCGGAATCATCTATTATCATTATCTGCAGAGTGTTTCTTTTCTTCTTGTGTTTTTATCCAAGTAACATATATGTCCGGGCTCTGACTTGGTTCTTGTAAACAGCCTGCTTTCCAACAGAATTTCTTCCTTCACCTTTCCACTGCCTTATCTTTCAACTCAGCCTGAGTCTACCTTAAAACAATACATCCAAGTTCCCTGTGTTTTTTGTACTTGAAACTTTATATTGGAATTGTTTCAGGCCATCATGCTCTCAGCCCCAGTTTCTGTATGGAGAAATGTGTTCCCATTAATCAAAGGAAAGGCTGAGTAAAGTGGTACAATCCACATCCTCATTTTGGAAAATTAAAAGGCAGTATCATTATTAAAAAGCAGTTCTGCTAAATGTTTTCTGATGAAGGGAGAATTGGGACACAGTATGCTGTCCGATGACTTTGCCAAAAATATGACAGCAAGAGACACAATAAATGAATGTATAAATAGTAATTGTTCTGAAAGGGGTAGTCATAAATCACAAAGTGAGTTGCAGGATGTTTCTTTCTCACTGATACTTGAAATGTGATCTATGTTGAATTAAAAGAAAATCAGATTTTCTCCTTTGGTTGTGTTGAAATGATATAGAAACTGGAAACCCAATTTCCCTGGAGCAGAATCCTACGCAAACTATGAAGGTCTGAAGTAAACATTAGACCAAGGTTTGCAGAGAGGAGGGGTTTATTCAAGAGCACAAACCAGCAATTTATTGGAGTAAGAGGTTATTAATCATACAACACTTAGGGTTAACAAAGCTCTGGCCTTGAATCAGTGACGCACTACAACAAATTGAATCTCTCCAGCAAGAACAGATAAGTTGTTCTGTGAAGTTCTGCAATGGATCTCAAAAGACCTTTTCCCTTACCCAACAGCCTTGCTTGTAATGAAAAATGATCCTTTTGTTTGTTGTGATCATTTATCAGCAGAATTTGACCCGTCTCATGCTGTCTGTAGATATTCTTCCCAGAGTTCATCTGCTGTATTTGAGTGGAGAGATTACCTGCAGATCACTGCTTCCCTTTTTGCACTGAACAGCATCTGCATAAGATATGCAGAACTCAGGAAGCAGAACTGCTGAAAAGTTTGGGTTGGAAGAGTTTGTAGAACAGCTGAGTGCTGGACCTTATCAAAAGGTCTTTCTTCCTAACAGCTGGGGTTTTGCAGACGTCACCCTGCAGACCTAACCCAACTCTGATTTAATTATTAGATCAGATGCAGGATTAATAGGGCACTTCCAAGCCTGATTCCTCCATATTTCCAGAAATCCTCTAGCCACTTCCCTATTCTCTTCCAAGGGCCTCTTCATGACCAAGTTATTTCTGTTCCTATAAGCTCTGGTGTGTAGGTTGGCATCACAAACTCCAATTCCCTGTAATTTTACATTTGAAAGTAGACCCTTGATAAGATTTGTAAACAGGGACCAGCTCAATTATGCAGCTGTGTAATCTTATTTTATTAGCTTTGTTTTCACAATCTGCCTCTTGTCCTGCTGCTTGTTTGCCACACTCCCTTGTGCTCTGGTTTAGATCAAATGAGCTCTTCTATGTTTTCTGTTCATATAGCTTAGGATATAGGGACAGTTCAGGAAAACAGCCTGGGGCCTTGAAAAACACAAGCTTTCTTGGAGAAAACCAGATTTTGAACAGCATGGGGAGAAGAGGGAATCTGGTGGATAGGACAAAGGGTAATGGTTTCAAACTAAAAGTGGTCTATTTAGATTAGGTATAATGAAGAAGTTTTTTACAAGGAGGGTGGTGAGGTCCTGGCACAGATTGCCCAGAGAGGTGGTGGATGCCCCATTCCTGGAAGTATCTAAGGCCAGGTTGGACAGGGCTCTGAGCAGCCTGGTCTTAGTGGAAGGTATCCCTGCTCATTGCAGAGAGGTTGGACTAGATGAACTTTAAACATCACTTCCAACCCAAACTACTCTATAATTCTATGAAGAGAGTTGGCAGTCACAATGGGACTAGAGTGAAGGTGATGTAACCAGGACTTGGCACACCTCACCAGCCCTTTCATCAGGTTGCAAGGAGAGACATCAGCCATCAACTGCTGGCTGTGACAGAGGCTATTCCAAGGCTGTATTTTTGGTATTCCCATGAATTTGTAGAGCTAGAACTATAGTTTTTTCTTGTTTTCAAGTATTATTCTAAAAGAGCAATGTGTCTCTTTTGTGGGGTACCTAAACTCCAATGTAGGCAGTCCTGTTGCTCAGGCAGCCCTAATGCTACTGATGCACTTCCTGATTTCAAAGCATATTCTTGTCGGATGCAGTGACTTTCTCAGCAGCAGTAAAGAAAATAATCTGGTTCCTGGACTGACCAGTGCCTGAAGCAGAGATTCCTGAAGCTCAGTGTCAGGAGTTGACACCGTTGGTAATTTAGGAGTTAGCTATGTTTCTTTAGTATAGCCTGCAGGTCAGCCATTACCTGGTAGTAGATAGGTAATAAATAACCACTAACAGTGTCAGTTTCACAGATTTATTCCCTCATACTATATTCTGAGTCTATTTGTGCCACAGAACAGATTACCTGGTTGGAAAGGCACCAGCCATAGCCAGCTCTCCATGCTGACACCTGTACAGGTCTGTGTGGAATCAGTGCTTGAGCTCTCCTGATACCTGCAGGACTCCAGGTAAATCACTGCTGCCACAAGAGAACTCCCAGCCAACCTTGATGGGTCTCGTCTCATGCGTGTGTGTGAGGCTGACCTGGTTCCTAGCCAGGGATCTTTCTCCAGCTGGGAATTTGGCTTTGTAGTAGCAGTCTGCTCTTTTTATGAGAACAAGTAGACAGACATGATTGCCCTCTTCCTCGTAGTTTGTCCTGTATTTTGTTTGGTTTATCCACCTTACTAAAACTGGCTAAAAGTTTGTCAGAAGATTGATGCAGTAGATATCATTCTATATCTACAGTAAGTGAAGGGGTTTTTTGCCCATTATTCATCCAGTTCCTGGAATTGAACAGATAGTTTGTATTAATAAAATATACACTAATATCAAAACATGTTTCAGGCCAAATCTATTAATTACATTTTCTATTATCTGCCTGGCTCTACATATGAATAAATGAAAAGAAGCACAGAAGATGGAGACATGACAGGATCTGTTACGTAAATCACTCTGTACATCCTGAACTATCTTCTGGGGCAGTGCTAAATAATTTATGACAGGTCACCTAATATATATTACTAAGTTATTGAATTGACATAAATCCAGTGATATTTCTAGAATTAACAATACCTGACTGTCAACTTGAATCAGTCTGTTTGGCAAAAGGGGCCAAAAATCATGACCAGTTTCAAGCTCTATGCTCAGAAAAAATGAATTTTTTTTTCCTTGCATATGGGTAGATATTGAACCCTCCTAAATAGCTGGGAAAGATTCATGGTTGCATTGCTTCACCATGCAGTCCATTTCCTTGCCTGAAGGGATGGAGGAGCCACTTTGAGCCCTCCCACTGTGTCTATGGAAGATATTGCAGATTGTAGTTTGCTCTGGGACATCCCAGTGACATTTCCCAGGTTCAGGATTTGGCTAACTGCTTGGTCTGACTTTGGGTACACTCAGTTTTCAGAGGGAGGAATGCGGATTTGGAAATCTCACTGTCATGGGTCCTTGCTAAAGATGTATGTAATTATTGAAATTAAACTGAGAGAGGACAGGGTTTGATTAAAGATTAGGGATAAATTCTTCCCTGTGAGGGTGGTGAGGCCCTGGCACAGGTTGCCCAGAGAAGCTGTGGCTGCCTCATTCCTAGAAATGTCCAAGGCCAGGTTGGACCAGGCTTGGAGCAACCTGGGATAGTGGAATTTGTCCCTGCTCATGGCAGGGATTTGGAACGAGATGAGCTTTAAGGTCCCTTCCAATCCAAAACATTCAATGATTCTATGAAAATGCGTTTCCCCTTTTCCAGTGGAGGATTTCTCCACAAATGTGTATTCTCAGTGTAACTTAGATCCAGATTATTTCTCTCTGTATCCTCTGCAACCTTTGTTTTCCCTCCTCATTACATTAATGGGTGTCCCTGCCCTGTGTGCTCCACTTGCCTACACTTGAATTTTGCATTGAGCTTTCAATTAGTGGGATTCAAACTGATTATTCTGGCAGCACTTTCCCCTCCAGAAATCCAACCCTTATTGCACATCAATTTTTTAAAAGGGGTAATTGATACTTCAGGAGTTGTCAGGGATCTGCTCTGATGTGCCTAAG